GCAGCCGGCGGGGACCACGGCCCCCCCGAGGACGATAAAACACTTTCCGATGCTCGAGCCCGGCCAGGAGGCCAAGCAGCGAGTAATAACTCTGAAATCTTCCGCAGCGATAGATTGGTTTTGAGAAATTACGTTCAGGACATTAAAGGCACCTGCACCAAGACTGCTCGGGAGTTCAGATGGTCGGTAACGAGCTCTGACATTGCAGCCCCGGGTCCGCGGCTGCAGCTCTTTGGGATCCAAACCCAGCGCAACCCTCCTGAAGGAAACCCACCTTCCTTCACACCTTTCCCCCAAAATCAGGATTTAAGGTTTAAACCGAGCCCCGCTCCCAGGCAGCAACACCCTCTCACGGGGCACAAAGGCACCAGGTTTCCCAGAGCACGATGAACCCAAAGCCCAGCTCTAGGGCTACCGGGGGCTGCCCTGGGGACCCGAATATTGCTCCAGGCCGGGCCGCTCCGCAAACGGCGCCGAGCTCCCGCGTCAGCCGGGAATCGCTCAGAACCGGCCCCGGAGGGAGCCGGGGACATGGGGAGCGGGATCCGCGCCCCGTCGCCTTCCTTTGGGGGCACTGAAACAATCCCTTCGCAGCAGAGCGGGATTTAGGTCAGGTGTAAGGTATCTTTGCGCCCTGGGAGCGTTCTGCTTTTTAAACAAGGCAGAGTCCGCGGGGACGCGGTGAGGTAATACAGCGATCACCGCTGTCGCGCAGGAGGCAGGGAAGGGCCAGGAACGAGCAGGATCCCGCGTTCGGGGGAAAATGAATCCCTGATCCTGGAGAGGGGAGCAGCGCAGGCAGCACGAGTTCACCTCCATCTCAGAAAAGAAAAAGCTTTTCACCCCCGCGAAAAACCGAGGGTGGGGGGGAGAAGAACTAAAGCCCCGAGCGGCCCCTCTCAACAATACACGGGAGGGAGGAGCGGCTTTTACTTTCCAAAGGGAAACCGGGTTATAATTCAGGAAACGGCACTCCAGGTCAGCTGTGCCCCCCTAAAACCGCAGGATTCTCACTCACTTCCCAGCTCCTGCTCCGCCAGGCGAGCATCCCTCCGACGGACACATCGGTCGTTTATTTAGGCGAGCTGGCTCCTACCTTTGTTCCTCCGACGGTAACCTTTTGCTCCCACCTCCA